TACACACCTATGTTATTTTCTGATTTGTACTTTGACCTAAAATGAGGCAACTCTACGGATGACTCCCATCTGTGACTTCTTTCCCTTGCTTTCCCTCATGCCCACTCAAACTGATTTCATTTCATTGTCTACTGCACCTGTATTACTCCTCACCACCTCACTGATGCATTCCTTTATTAAGAACACTACCTCATCTGTTTTTACTTTTTGACTATTATTCTAAAACATCAAATATCCTTGAATATTGAGTTCCCAGCCCAGGTCACTTTGCAACGACATCTGTGCAATAGCTGTAAAGTCAAATTCATTTGTTTGTTTTTGGGCCATGAACTCATCTATTTTGTTTCAACGCTATGTGCATTCAGATAAAGAGCCTTAACTTTTGACTTTCTGGCATTATTACTTATTTTGGATCTAACTTCTGCTGCACTCTTCTGTATTTTCTTCCTCTTCCTGTCACATTTTAATTATGATTTGCCTATTTCAGACTCTACCTGTGCTCTCTCATTTCTTCTTGATTTTTAAAGTTCCAGTCAACTAACATCCTTTCAACTCCCCCACCCCCCATCAAACCTGTCACCACCCCTCGCCCTCCCCCCACCACCATCCTCCCAAAGATCACCACCAACAACTGGTCTAAAGCAATATCAACAATCCGTGGCATACACGTTGCCTGGACACTGGTTGTGTTTTCAAGTAAAAGAGTACCCGTCTATTGCATTTTAGTTCCCTCTTTCCACGGGATATATATATGTATAATATTATAGTGGTATTTCAGTTCAAAATTACATTTTAATCTAAGATTTCTTGCAAAATCATGAAAGGAATAACTTTACTGGTGTCTAAACTTGAAAACAATCCATGCATGCAATTCTCCAAAGTAGCAGTTAAGATACTGGGACAACATTGTGCCGTGAAATATGATACAAATAAATGTAATGCAATTCTTGCTATATAAAATGTATTTTTCCATCAGCTTTTCAGAAATGTTGGATTGACCCTTGATTTTTACTTCAGTACTTTGTTTCAGTTTACTGCAGTTTTGACTCAGCCCCGACTGTCTACTTGAATTGCCATATCCCATGCTGTTACATTTTATGTTTTCTAAATTATATATTGATGTCCACACAGAAATGTTATCACTATGAGCTGCAAGCTGTGAAAGGCTTTCATTACAGGAGCTGTTTCATGAACTGCCCAAAGAAACTAGTGCAGCATTATACATTTTTCCCTAATGCTGATTTGCTCAGTATATCTACACGCCAAAGTGCTTGAAAACTGTCTTATCTCTTTACTTCAATATATTAAATGGTCACTGCAGCCACCTTTATGTACTGAGAGAAGCAGTCATTCATTTGCCAGAAACTTTTAATTTTTGAAAGACGGATGATGCAGTCTTGTTAACCACAGTTATAAATCTAGTTTTTTTTGTCTTTCTTACAATTACTTGGAGCAAGAAATTACTTTTTCTTTTGCAGGGTATGCATATTACTTTTTTGCCTCACAAAGAGGAATCAGCAAAAATAACTTGGATAGTTCAGAGAAGGTTCGCGTGGGTGATTCCTTATAAGAAAAGGCTGCGCATGTAGTCATCGGAGTTTAGAAAAATGAGGCCTGATTTTTTTGAAACATAAGATTCTGAGAGGCCTTGACAGGGTAGATCCCGCCAAGATGTTTCCTTTCGTAGGACAACCTAGAACTGGCTTTCAGTTCTTTAATACTACTGTTCACAAAATAAGGGTTATCCCATTTAAGATGCAGTTGACGAGGAATTTCTTTTCTCATAGTCTTTAATGTTTGGAATTCTTTTCCACAGTGAGCAGTGGATGTGGGTCTTGACATTTTTCATTCATTTGTCGATGTGGGCATTGTTGGCTATTCAGTACTTTTGTCCATCCCTGACTTTCCTAGAGAAAATGGGTGGTGAATCTCTTCCTTGAATAGTAATAGTGAAAGCATAGCAGTGCAGCTCTGAATCAGGGTAGTGTGTGCCGTGGAGTGGAAATTGCAGGCGATAGTGTCCCAAGCATCTGCTGCCCTTGTCTAGATGGTAGAGTTTGTGGATTTGAAAGGTGTTGTCATAAGTCTAGGATTGTGGAGGACTGGCAAGCAAGTGAAATTATGGCCACAGTTAAATCAGCCTTAATCTTATGGAATGGTGGCACTTACTTGATGGACCAGTTATTTTATCCTTGCTGCTATTTTGTTTATTCATCAACTAAGCATTCTCAGTCGTTAGGTTTAGTGAATTCAAAATCCTTTGACTAAAGAAATATCTCCTCAATTCAATCTTAAATAAAGGCAGTTCAGTGTCTCGAACCCACTCCATTATTTAACATGCTCATAGCTTGTTTCATCTCAACCTCAGCTTGACTTTCCCTGCCCACTTACCATAAACCTTCATTAAAAATCTTTGTTTGCGTGCGTGCGTGTGTGCATGTGTCTGTGCGTGTGGAGAGTGTGTGTGCGGAGAATGTGCGTACATGCAGCTGTAAATTAAAAGTCTGTCTATTTCCTTAAATTTATTTAGTGTCCCTGTGTCCACCTCACTCTGGAGTAGTGAATTCCACACATTCACAAAAATTTGAAAGAAGTAATTCTTCCTCATCTCCATTTTAAATTTGTTACATCTTAGCCTGAAACTAACCCCTTGTTCTGGATTGCCCCACAAGGAAATCTGCTGTACACCGACTGTCATTTCCCTTTTACATCTTCTGTGCCTCAATTAGATCTTCTCTCATCCTTGTAAACTGAAGCAAGTACAGTCTTAAGCTGTTCAATCTCTCAAGACAAGCTTTTCATTTCTGGAATTAATCTAGAGAACCTTTTCTGATCTGCCTCCAATGTCATTACCTTATAGCATTTGGCTTCCTACTTATTTTGCCTACACTTTAACTTCGTGTGACTCATGCATAAGAACATCCAAGTTCTGAGTTCATATTTTTGGAGCTGAGGCTGTTTACAAAGTAAGCTTGTACTTGATCTAATGTTTGCATGTGTTGCTGAAGAGATTCAAGAAATTTGCAAGTGGAGTTTCATTTGACACTCAAACAAAATAAGTGATTCATCAGAGAGACTCTGGGACGCTGACAGAATATTGGGCATCTGGTCCGTGATAGGGATGCACTTTTTTTGTCTTTAATCTGGAGGTGACTGAGTTTACTGGCTGCGTGAGTCTCACTGAAGAGCCTGTCTCATCCAAATGATCTTCTGTGCTGAAATTCCTGACTTTGAGGGTTTGCTCATGATGTGCACCTTGGTCCCCTAGAAACAAAAAAGGTCTATTAGGGATCCTGGAACCTCTCCGACTTGAGAAGCTATTTAATCATGACTTAATGCCTCAGGATCACACAGCATAGAAGGATTCTGTTATGCCTGTCCTTACTCTTGGAAAAGCGATCCAGTTTGTTCCATTTACCTACTTGTTCTGCATAATCATGTGAATTCCCTTCTCTGACTGTATATGCAACTCCTTTTTAAAAGTTACAAATGAATTTGCCACTTTTCATTCAGTCAGTTAAGTCCACACTAGAACATCTGACTAAGCTTTTAAAAAATTTTCCCAATTGGATTGCTTGAATGGTACTTTCCACTCAAACTTTGTGCTATTTTGTCACAATGAAAAGAGAGTGTGTGCAGAAGGAGAATGGTTGTGCTCAGTTCTTTAAATTGAAGCTTAGCTGTTTTATAGCTAGAATCATTGACTTAAGGAACAGAAGGTGGCTGTTTGGCCCATAATGTCTTTGACCAAAAGGAGCCATCTAGTCTAATCCCACCTTCTGGCTCTAAGTTTGTAGCCTTGTAGGTTAAAGCATTTTAAGTACTGAACCATTTTTAAAAAAAATTTGTGATGAGAATTTCTGCATCTATCATGGTTTCAGGGAGTGAGTCCCAAAACCCAGGTTTGCGCTGAAGTTGAAGGGCCCCCACAAAAGAGACAACAGAGTTGAGGAGTATCTTTCTGAAAATCATCAAACTTATTTGTGCCAAGTAAGAAGAACTTGACTGAATACATTGACTTAGTTGGCTAACCTTTCTCCACAGAGCTCCTACCTGTGGTCTTCAGCCCAAGACTACTTTTTCCTATAAGTATATTTGCAGCAGTGTGAATTACAAGTGGAAATGCTGTCCATTTGTCTGTAATTTTATCTATTAAGACAAACTGATAACTCACTAGATTTTAAACTTTGCCACTTAAGTGTCCTGTGCACCAAGCTTTCGAGGCAGGCCTATTGTGTGCTCAAACTGAGAGGAGGGTCTCCTTTGCAAAATTTCTTCCGGCCTTGCCTCTGACCTGGAGGAGACTGGCTCACCTGTGCTATGAAGCAAGCCTGTTTTGCCATTCTGATAAAATTAGTGCTAACTAAAAATATTGGACCAAGTTTAAAAGCAAGTCTGCTGAAGAAGCAGCTGTCAAATTGGTGAAGATCTTTGTCTAGTAGTAGGATCTGTGACTGTCTTTGAGTACATGTACAAGGCCTTCAGAAGTGATGCGATTCTGTATCTCAGTAAGGTATGGAATGAGTGCTGCTCAATGCTTTTTCTTCCCTCCTTCTAGGTTTATTTTTGTCTTCACTTAAATCGCAGTTGTTTGTAAAATGATGCCCTCAAAGATCTTGAACAGCTTTTGGCTTAATGTTTAAAATCCGTTGCATAGTTCAGTACTCTGACGTTATTGACATGTCAAAATTTTCTGTTTGGTTATCCTAACTAAGGGTATGTTGTCTCCTGCAAAAGATAAATATATTCCCGGGCTTTTACTATATTTTCTCATTGCAGAGCTTTTCTACTTTGGTTCCACTTGTTACTGTGAAATGGCCAATTAGACCTATTATTAGCATTGTAATAATCATAATAGTTGCATTTTTGATTTATGCTTCTTAGAATTGAAATATAACACATTTTCTAAAATGAATGTCCTTTATGAAAACAATGCAATAATTATTTGATTCTGTGACCTTATGAGCTCACTGTGTTCATAATATTTTGTTTTTGCATAGAACACGCAATTATCTAAAGACTTGGAAGATACAAAGACAAAGTTGGCCAAAATTCCAAAAGTGTTACCCCCACAACCAGATCAGGTTAACAGGCTGTTAACCCCACCAGCACTTCCATTACCAGGCCAGCCAGGAATTCCTCCTTCACCACTGCTACCGGGACAAGGTGGGCCACCTCCTCCTCCTCCTCCACCTCCTCCTCCTCCTCCACCACCGCTACCAGGACAAGGTGGGCCTCCACCTCCTCCTCCTCCTCCTCCACCACCGCTACCAGGACAAGGTGGGCCTCCTCCTCCACCACCACTACCAGGACAAGGTGGGCCACCTCCTCCACCTCCGCTACCAGGACAAGGTGGGCCACCTCCTCCACCTCCACTACCAGGACAAGGTGGGCCACCTCCACCACCTCCACCTCCTGGGTTTTCTGGAATGCCGCCTCCACCACCTGGGCTGTTTGGCGCTCCTGTTGTTCCAGCTGCCCCCATTTTACCATTTGGACTGTCATCTAAAAAAGAATACAAGCCAGAAGTTCAACTCAAAAGGCCTAATTGGCCAAAAGTAAGTGGATATCCTCCAATAATTTTATTTAAAGTTGAAGTCGTATATTTATTTGAGAGTTGCAGTTGTTTTGCGTGATTTGTGAGTAGTATATACAAGTTGTAATTCTTATTTCAATATTTGACTTCAGAATTTGCACAAATATTTGTTTCACAGTCATTGCAAGCACTGTATAATTACAAATGCTGCTGTGGTTTGAGATTTTGCTCAACCTTAGTACTAAATTATACTTTCTTCACTGTTCTTTGCTGTCTTCTGTTTTATTTTGCAGAATGTCTTATAGCACAGCAGTATCTTGCAATGTTCCCAGCTTACTCTTATAATTTATACTGTAATAGTTCTTGTTTTTTTTTCTCCCAGCTTAAATAGTTCTTTTTCTGTTTGCCATCTTTCTCTCTCCCAGTGAGTAACATGCTTTGTGGTCACTGGCATGGAAAGTCTATATGAAAATATAAAAATGAAAATAGAATCCATGACTTCAAAATGTGGACTTAATTATTTTTGTCTCCTATGGTACATTATCTTCTGACCTGGAGCTTGGCTTTACTTGAGTCTTGATCTCAAGTACCAGCATCAGGAGAGATTGACTCTGCAGGGTCTATTTTGTGCAGGTCCAGATATTCTTTTTTGCCCACATTGAGCATTTTAAAGAATTTATTAATGAGAATTCCTAAATATCTATTTGTTTATATTTATCATATGGTGTTACATAATTGGACATGCACACACATGGAATAGAATTTTTGTTTCTTTTCCACCTGCTGGGTAAATATATTTTGATTTCATATACCAAGAGTATTATTCAGAAATTTATTGGAATGTAGAACATGTTATGTTACTGCTTCCATTTAAAGGTAAATTGCATTGCAACATATCTATAATCTGCTCCTCCGATTTGTTTCATGCCCAGCTGTCACAATCTAAAAAGAAAAAATTACATCTGTGAAACGCATTCATGTGTCATCCCAAAATGCCTGAGGTTCATTGAACTTTTTGAAGTTTATTCACTGAGACAATGTAAAAGAGCACTCAGTGCAGAAATAATATGCACCACCACAGATACTTTCTGTGTGGTGAGTTTGGAAGTCCATTACCACACAGAACCATTCTGCGATGAGTGGATAAAACTTCGCCAACCTAACAACATAGAGTCCTCATAGTAAGCAGGCAATAGGAGAGTCCCAGTCTGTCATGGACTGGCGCCAAGCCTGCATCTTAAAGGCCAGTGCAGACTGAAGCTTGAACAAAGCATGTTGGGACTTACCTGTAGGTTGTTTAAGTCAATGCTGAGACACTGACAATACTAGAATTCATGAAGGAAGGTGAAATGTCTCTTGTCAGTGTCCAGTAATCTCCGCACTGTCGGCTTAGCTGAGTGGCTCACCTCGTCAAATAGCTTACAAATCTTCAGGTATAAAGAATGGTTTGCAATACATTTTCAGTGAATATAAACATATTCCCAAGTAGACAGAGAAAAACAAGAATTACAGAAAAACTTTGTTGAAGGGCAGATTGTATATCTTCAGCTCAATGCTGGCTGAATTTATAATACAAACTAAAGTAAAAATTATAAGGAAATTATAGTAGTTACAAGGCAACTGGTTGCATCCGTATAGTTTCTGTTTTAGGTAACTCAACGTATCATGTATTGCTGGACCAATGATTTTGACTAATTAATACGCAATTCGTCTGAGAAATCAGATGGGACAATGTGATTAATAAGGTATCAAGATGCTATATATGCACTTGCTGAGCGTCAGATTTAAACAAAAATTGAATATCAATTGCATGCATTTAAATGTTAAGGAATGCTTCACAAAGAGACTATAATTATGGGTTTTTGGGTTGGAGTTCAATACTTTCTCTCATAGAAGTTCGTACCACTCAATAAACCTATCAAAAAGGGATTTAAGTAAACCTATTGCTTGGAAAACAAATGTGCAAATGATGGAATAGAATGATGTCTTTTAGTTTACATCTTCCTTTCACTTTCTACACTTTTAAATAACCGTCTCTGTTTGATGAGGAGTCAGCTCTTTTGGTGGGCTGGGTATACACCTGCTGCATGGGAGTAGCTTTTTGGCAGATGCACGAGCAACACCACCTCCTTGTTTTTCCATAATACCCCATCCCTCTTTACCAGTAAATCTAATGTACTCTTGAGTATTTTTCTGTTGGACTTGATCACTGTAATGTTTGGAGGAATTATCTTTACTACTCACTAGAAGACGCGAGAAATCTTTTCAGCTTGAAGATGAAAATGGCAAATTGATCTAACGTAGCTGTTACAACTAAAAATGACTTTGGTTCTGTTCCTGTTTGTTGCTAACAGCAAACTGTAGCTTAATGCTGCTGCTTAATTGGCTGCAAGAATGACATGTGTTGTATTTAATCTACACTTTTAAGCAGGGCCTTGAATGCAATTGATCTAATTGAATTTTTGAAATAGCAGCAGCTCTGAGATTGAAAGCTGATGGAAAACACAGTATTGTACCAAACAGAGTGATCAAATTTTAAATTGTGCTGCTGATTCATAAGATAATTAGCATGCACAGTGACCATTCAGCCCATCTAAATGAATTGACTCTGAAAGATCCTGAATGGGGCCAGTTCTAGAGTTCAGTTGTTTCTTATGATTCCTGAATTTTGATTTCCACTGCCATATCTATTTCTGTTATTAGTTCAAGTCCAGTGTTTGAGTGCAGGACTTCTTGATATCAAACCCAAAGCTTCCCTCCACTAGTTTGAACTTCTGTCCACTTATTCCATTCTGGTTTGTTTAAGTGACTTCCCAGATTTTCTACAAGCTTAACTGCTTTGTTTACCTTAATAAAGTTACCTCTCACATGCTTTCCTTCCAGTCTGAAAAGCCTGAGACCAGGGTGAACCACTTTGCATTGCCTCAGGACATTGCATGCCCCCAATTCTTAGTGGTAGAAAGTGAGGTTCTATAAGCTAGCATACAGTGACAAATTACAATCACTTTACCAACATCACTTGGATCTGGGGTCTTGTTTCAATTTGGTTTTAAATTGAAGACATGTTCGTTCAGTATATAATGTGCCGTCCACAAAACAAATGACGATTCCAACTTGTTCTGAATTGTATTCTACAGGATTTTAACTTTGCAATTACAAATGTATTTTCTCTGTAAAGCAAGTCCTTCACAGCTTTCTGATTGTTTTAAAACAAAGACTGGTTATGTCATAAATGTACTTTGCTTTGCTTTCAGATTATGCCTAAGGATATGAACGAAAAATGTTTCTGGGTCAAGGTAAAGGAAGACAAATATGAAAGTAAAGAGCTGTTTGCGAAACTCACCCTCACATTCTCTGCACAGACCAAGGGTAAGTATTTAGTCGGTCTTCAGTTTATGAATTGACCTTTTTAAATTTAGATTAGAACTCATCCCAAGTAAGCATCTAGAGTTTGGCTAACCTTAAATTCTAGTCTATGGATGTGGATTTTTTGGGAACGTTCCCACGTTTTGGCATTAAACTGTTGGGTGGGCATACTCTGGCTAAGCCGGTAATGCCCATATCACATGAACTTTTAAAAGAAGGAAGCTGTTCTATCTGACCCAATAACTTTTATACACTGCCCTTGAATCCTAATCAAATCTGAAGCATCTATTAATCTCTCTTTAAACTTCCTTTCCCCAATATACATTGATTTAGTTTTATTACAGGAGCAGGTATGTCCTGCTGCCATGGTACAGTGCCTTGGCGAGACCACACCTTGAGTATTATTTGCAGCTTTAGTCTCGTTTGAGGAAGGATGTTCTCGCTATGGAGGGTGTGCAACAAAGGTTTACCAGACTGCTGATACTGCAGGACTGACTTGTATAGGACTGTTTTCACTAAAGTTGAGAAGAACGAGGGATGCCTATAAATTCTGATAAGACTAGACAGAGTAAATGCAGGTAAAATTCTCCTGATGACTACTGAGTCCAGAACCAAGAGGTTATATTTGAAGGATATGGGGTAGGCCATTTAGAACTATGATGGGGAGACTTCTTTATTCTCTGAAAGTGGTGAGTCCGTGGAACTCTGTCACAGAATGTGGTTGAGGCCAAAATATAAAATGTTTCCAAAGAAGGATTTGATAGGTTCTTAGGGCTATAGAGATGAAAGGGTATGAGAAGAAAACGGGAACAGGGTACAAAGTTGGATGATCAGCTATGATATTGAATGGCAGAGCAGGCTTGAAGGGCCAAATGGCCTTCTCCTGCTTCTAGTTTCTATATTTCTAGTTCCCTTTTAAAAAGGTTACAAAATCTGCTTTCTCTTTACACACTTCCAAGCTTTACTGTTAATCAAAATGTTGTCAGTTTTGCAATGGTTATGACCTGCTGCCAGTTTGCCTGCCTTTCCAAGAACTTATTCTGAATAATTAAACAGGCTAGATTTCCACTATCTGGTATGGTTAAACTGCGTTTCTCCTACTTTGGAAACAGGTGAAACAATCTCTGATAGTGGAATTGTCATTAAATAAGTAATCTATTTCACCTGTCAAATTTGTATATGTATCATGCAGTTTGAATTCTGCGTCTGTGGTGGTGGATTAAGCATGCCTCGCTCCATTCCACTGGCACCAAAAAAACTGATATCACCTTCAATCCATTACTTGATTAAAAATCACAGTGCATTATGTCTCCATCTTCTCTACCCTACATTCATACTATACACCAGAAACTCCACATGCATCAATGGTTCAGGAAATAGAACTGTATGGGTGCTGTTGTGAATTCCACCTCTCCATCTGAGCTATGAAGTTTCAGTGCAATTGAGAAGAATGAGGGGAGGTTGCTGCAGTTTTGTGTTCACTCAGGGAATATGGTCGTCACTGGCTCTTGAGAAGGTGATGTGGAGGTGCCAGTGTTGGACTGGGGTAGACGAAGTCAGGCGACACTGGGTTATAGTCCAACAGGTTTGTTTGAAATCACAAGTTTTCAGAGCACTGCTCCTTCGTCAGCTGAAGTCACCTGATGAAGGAACAGCGCTCCAAAAGCTTGTGATTTCAAATAAACCTGTTGGACTGTAACCTAGTGTCGTGTGACTTCTGACTTTTCAGTATCATTCAGTAGTATAGGACTTGAGTAGTGTTGCAAAAAGGTACATGTTGTCAAAGTTTTTTTATCTTAGATTTGGCAGGACAATTTGCAAGAATATCAACTTAGAAGTAGGTATCATTTATGCTGCTTGAGAGGAGAGTGCTAATTGGTTGGTAAGTGGGTTCCGATAGAGGTGTTCCAATGGCGAATGCACTAACTAATGATGAGAAATGAACAGTGCATAACTGTCACGAATGCTGTGACCACTCAGAATAAACCTGCCGCGTTTAAAATACTAAACAAAGACTGGAAGTTAGGTATCATTCATCATTAGTTGGTGCATTCTCCTTGGAAATGACTCAACCAGTGTATTCTGTTGATGAAGTTTTTGCGTCAGTTTTTCCCTTTAATTGGTATTCTTGCACATTGCCCTGAAGAGTGCAAGACTGAAAGCGTTGACAAAATCTGCCTTTTTGTTGAACAGTACTTAACTCTCTTCAATGTAATGAATTATTTGGATCATTAATGCATTGGCTAAAAGAATGGTAGGAGCAGATTCGGCAGTACCTTCTCTGTAGGGAATTGAAGATATACTTGAAAAATGGGAAACATACACTGTTAAAATAACTGTATCAAATAGCCATCACATCTTAATGGACTAAATGGTTCCAGTGCTGTATGATTATTTGATCAGAGTTCATGTGGTAAGTATCTAGGAGTGGTAACCTTGGCTTTTCTTTCATTACTCCCTAATACAGATGAATAGAACCTTTTGTAATTCTCTTTCCAC